AACAAGTAAGAAAGCCTAAGTTCGGGCGGAGCCGAACATTAAATACCCGGCGCAATTATTAAATATATGTTTTCCACCTTTCCGAAAGCTACCGCTACACGATAATCCGGGGTGTATAAATTTTAAGTAAATTAGCGTCCTTAAATTTCGAAATATTGCAGTTTCAAGCATTTCTGAAATATACCGTTATATGAAAAGCGGTCGTAATTTTAGTCCGATTTCAATAATTTTCAACGCTTTGCTTTTATGTGGCAAGCACAATAACCATACCCAGTTTGGTTCAAATTGCTAGAACGGTTAGCGAGATACATATATGTGATCATAAGTGGGCGGTGCCACGCCCATTTTCCAAAATTGTATCATAAGCTTATTTCTTGGTAAAAAATTGTTGCAACCATCAATTTTGAATAAATTAGCTTTAATATTTACTGATTTATCGAGGATCTCGTATTTTTCTAAATTACCGTTATATTGGATGTGGGCGTGGCTATTGTCCGATTTTAAAAATTTTCGGCCATTTGGTATGTTGTAGCAGGACCAACAACTGTGCCAAGTTTGGAAGAAATTGGTGCAGCGGTTACCAAGGTATACACATGTAATCATAAGTAGGCGTGGCTACGCCCATTTGCCAAAATTTTTTAATATTCTTTTTTTCGTCTAAAACTCATTGTAAATATCAATTTTGAGTGAATTATCTTCAGTAGTTACTAAAATATCGCACTTTTCGTATTTCTGAAAATTACCGTTATATGGGAGGTAGGCGTGGTTATTGTCCGATTTCGCCCATTGTCAATACCATCCGTCCTATGCCCAAAAGAAGTCCACGTACCAAGTTTCGTTAAGATATCTCAATTTTTACTCGAGTTATCGTGTGCACAGACGGACGGACTGACGGACGGACGGACGGACGGACGGACAGACAGTCACCGCTTAATCGATTTCTCTTTTCATTCTGATCATTTATGTATACATTTGTCTATATCTATCTCGATTCGTTTTGCCTGTTACAAACAATCGTTATGTGAACAAAGTTATAATACCCTTGTGCACAAGTGCGATCGGGTATAAAAATATTTACTACATGTCTCGCAGATATGTCTTGAGGAGAGATTCCTAAAGCAGTTAGTCTTCATAAAACACTTCACTTTCACTTGAGGTTTCAGTATTTCCGAATTCTCCACCGATATTATTTATATTCAGACATTTACCAAAACTCGCTGGTAACTTCCTGAAAAGAATACGAATGTTTATGAAACTAATTGGTTAAAAGAATGTTAAAAGCTCTATTCACTTTGAATAAAAAAAAAATCGAAATTTCAGTCCGTGAGCTCTCTCAAGAATTTGCCTTTTTGCGAAGGCGTTAGTGTATTTGTAACATAGGCTCGGCTACGCTACAGGAGATGAAATGTAATCCAAATTGAGGCTGCTATTTTTTTTTTGCTATCACATACTTCCAT